ACATGCTTCACAAATGTACATGATGTGACCGTCTTTTGAAATTTGTTTACTAACTAACCGCGATAAATTTTTTATATAGCAATAATGATTTTTTGTATCCTTGGAAAAAAATAATAAATTGATATGTCTATCTTTACGACACTTTGTTAAAAATAATGGACCTACTATAGAATTACATCGTTTTTCTTTATTATATTCTAACCCAAAAACATTAATACTAATATCATTTAATTTCTCTACTTTTGCTATGTCAGAAATTTTAACCGGAAAGGAAATACCATCAAATTTAAGTTTATTTGCATGTTTAACGTACGATGATACCCGATCGGTGTGTTTGTTTACAGGATATAACGCCGAGAGTAACGCCCATTTAAAACAAAAATAATCCTTGTTTTTTACATTTATAACAGCCTTTTTTAATTTTATGTCACGAGGAAGATCTATGTATGAAGTACCGCGTAGGGGGTTAAATTTATTAACATTCATGTCTATAGATTTTATGTTTTTTAGACTCCATCCACTACCTTTTTTTTCGAAAGCACTAATTTTAGTAGTAATTGTATCATTTAAAGATGAAAGAAAAATATTTAAGTCATCTCCTTGACAAATAATATAGTTAAGCGTTTGAAAATCGAACGTATCATGAATATCTTTAGTTTGTTGAACAAAATCAGCATGCAATATGAAGTTTACCTTAAAAATTATGTGTTGATGAATACACTCTTGTAATAAAAATAAAATATCATCTTTAATAGAATTTAAAAATAGTTCAGGAGTTTCAAAATTTACCCATGTCGAACGATCTACTCTACTCTTGATTTTATAAGTTAAAATCCTATTTCCAAAAGCAGATTCAATAACACTAACGTTTGATAAAGAATTATGTGAATTTAAAAGATTATTTTTATGAACATTACTTTTAAAATGATTAGCTAAATACCGTTTCTTGATAAATATATGGCACGTTGGACATTCCACTTGATCATCGTTACTGATACTGTTCCCTGCAGAGGTATGCGCTTCTGCTTCCGTTGTTGGTTTTTTGATGATCTTGGATTCTTTGCTGCACGTTCGCTTCGTTCCTCTTCCAAGTTGTAGTGGTTGACTGCTAAAATGTTTAAATTTATTAAAAACTGTATAAGACAATATGTAAATTATGATCGAAATGAATGTTTATTTTACATACTTAAACTGTGTTTCAACCATCGCACAGTGATGATACAACTCATCATCGTATGACGAATCGAACAGTTGACCCCTCTCCATTTCTTCACAAACTTTAGACAACTCCTGATTTAATTCGCTATTGAATAGTTCCGTATTCTCTTCCATGATTGTGGAGAAAAAAGCACTGGTGCACACTTCACTGAAGTTTTCCCTTCCTCTTTTTTATTTTTGATTCAGCTTCAAAAAAATGATCAATCGATTGCGATTTTCTTTTTCCACCATCGCATGTGTTATTATTAATGACGAGGTCATCACTCTCTTCTTGAGGGGAGAGTGGCGAGTAGTAATACTGTTTATAGGTATCTTCATCGAAGCTCAATGATTTCTGCAACAACACAGTTATCATGTTAATATCAATTTGTTAACACTTAATCATAAAAGTTAAAAAAGTTAAAGTTACAGCCTATTAAAGTCCACTGCTGAACATAGGCCTCCTCTCATTTCTGAGAGGGTTTTAGAGCAAGGAAATGTCCGCCGCGCTCCCTCAATGTGTGTTGGCGAACTTCACATGCCTTCGAAATTTTCTCAGACATGCAGGTTTCCTCACGATGTTTTCCTTCACCACCAAGCACGTGGTAATAAGCACTTAAAATTGCTATTAACAATTTAATTGGTGCTGGCGGGGATCGAACCCGGGTCGCGTACTGTGAAATTTACAGCTAGCGCTAACCATCTGAGTTACCACGGCTTAATCATATACATACACAATATTTAAATAAAATAATACACACATGAAAATAACAGAAAAAAAGTAATTTAGTCAATAGAATAAACACTTACATCCATAGCCTTTGGTGTATTGAAGTAACACAAATGTACTATTGATAGATCCACTGTAGCCAAACGACCGTACACTAACTCGATGACTGCGTTTGTTGGTCTTATATACCACCAGTACGTAAAAATTCTAATCTAAAGTATTTCCGTAATGAGTTGATAATTACTTTATGCGTCAACCAGTTTATCTCACATTTCCGTTGCCTATCTCAACATTTCTTCGTATTGTGTTTTGTTTGGTGATCAATGACTCAAGTACGATTTGTATAACACAAAAATGCAATTTAATATTTAGAAACATATCAGTTTATCTCACATTTCCGTTGCCTATCTCAACATTTCTTCGTATTGTGTTTTGTTTGGTGATCAATGACTCAAGTACGATTTGTATAACACAAAAATGCAATTTAATATGTAGAAATCACTATAATTGACCATTCCTATGTTATTCATTGAGTAGCTAGGTACTGTAATAATCTACTAATAGCAGTAATATCATGGATACACTAGATGTACAACAACATCTGAAAAAGATTCACCCCAGTCTAGAAAATAATGTTTATGCAGCTAATAGACTGCCTATGTATACCCACGTACCAACGTATATAATATGTAATTTGGATACAGATGATAAACCAGGGTCACATTGGGTAGTTTTTAAAAAGGAATTGTAAAAGATGGAACTGGAATGTTGATAGGATTCAGAATGAGTGGACTTCAGTTTGTGGCGAATATTGCTTAATGTATTTACTATATAAGTTTCAAGGATGTTCAATACATAGTTTTACGAGTATATTTACAAGGAACACATTGTACAACGATATTTTAGTGGATGAGATGTTTCGCTCCTATTTTATAGATAATAATTAATAAGATTTTGTATTTTATAAATAAAAATTGTAACAAAATTATGTAATGTGTTTTATTGATGATTCAGATTAGCGTTGTATAAATAAAGAATTATAATACAATAGCACTGATATAGTCGACGCACACGCTGCAATGAAGGTGATTAAGGAACAATAGAACAATAGAAATAGGAACAATGGGACGCTAATGACGGTGGAGGCCCTTAACGGATATCAATTAGATATTAGCTAATTGATCTACACATCTCTGGAACCGTGCCTTCTACACAAAAATGGACCGTGATCCGGATTCGTGATCAGAGCATGCCAAAACCTTTTTTTTTTTTTTTTTTTTTTTTTTTTTTTTTTTTTTTTTTTTTTTTTTTTTAGGATCGGATGTCGACGAACGTCGTTGAACCACGTCTGACTCAGGTGGTCTAGAAGTGGTACAACTACACTACTGACAACCTAGTAAGACATGCAAGAATCAGGACTGTGTTCTGTGGCATTCTTTGGGGGAGGTCTATGTTCAGCAGTGAACTTGTGATGGGCTGTAATGATAATGATGATGATGCTGAACATAGATTACAAGTACTTATTGAAAGTAATTTATGCTCTAAACACGACAAGACTATTCTTTTTGTAGTTTTTTTTTTATAGAATAAGGGTAACAAACGAGGACACAGTCCACCTGATGGTAAGTGGTTGCTGTAACCCATAGACATCTACATTTATTCTTAATAAGGAATCAAAATGCAGATGCGTCGTTACCCGTGAGGACTAAGATGGAATGCCTCTTTTCCAGTAAAATGGGTCTCCGGTTCTCTACACTCACCATACGAAATACAGCAGTGTTAACTTGCCATTTTACCCTGGTGTTCTGTGAGAGCGCGGTCCTTCCACGGTCGAGCCGATCCATTCGTGCTACAACTATACTAATATAGCTGTAGCATGTCTCTACCACGTACAAAAAGTTATCCTTATCGTAAGATAGCTAAACCCTAAGTTCATTTGTTCTAGTGTTAAAAATTACAAAAATATTGGTACCTATGTAAAAATTGTGTGGGAAATTTTCAAATTTCTGTTATTATTCAAACCTAACATATATTATTATTTGATGCAGGTGGATACCTCATGGAGAGAAAGACGATTGCGTAACAAACGGCGCTAAGAAAGCAGTATGGAAATGTGTACCAGTTAGTAAGTATCTATAATGAACCTAATGGCGGGTTTCTATATTTAAAAAGTGCTTCGTTTTTTCTTACCATCCATTTCACAGTACACATAGTGCATGATAAACCCTTTTGTAAACAAAACATACTAGTACGAGTTCCACAACTAACGCACTAACGGAACGTATTTATAGACCTATTTTGTTTAGTCATCTTATGTTGCCATACGTATAGTTTATACCTGCTTTGATCTATTTTTACGTGCACTACATATGTGATTAAAAGGATCGTTAAGGAGAATGAAACATTTCTTGTATATAAGATTCGGGTATAAGTATGACAACCTGATAGATTTTTATTTATGTGCAGACACCTTAAAAACAAATGCAGTAATTAATAAATAAACTAAAATAGTTCAAATATTTTTAAATAATAAATATACTAAAATAATTCAAGGTAGTAGGACTATTTTTCTACCTAGAAATTATCTCAGTAGGTACCACACTCAAATCAATTAATCCACTTACATAGGTACTTCTGTGGCCAAGCAGAAGTGCGTGAACTGCTGTGTTCCGGTCTAGGTCTAGGGTATATAGTGCCAGGATAATAACAGTATGCGAGGCAATCCATCTTAATCTTGTCTGTGTTTGAACTTGCTGCTGTCACTTACCATCGAGTGTACTATAAATTCGTTTGACCCTGTCACTTTATAAAAAAAAAACTTACAGACTTGAAATATATAAATCTCTGACAGGGAACAGCAACTAGCGTGGACTTCGTAAGACCAAATGAATTTGAAAGCAGTTCATTCTCGGTTAACAGCCTAAGGATGACCCATATCCAATTTCCAAAGTAAACTATTTAAGTCCACTTTTGGAAATGGGCCATTTTCAAGGTAGAGATCTTTTATGTAATATATTGTAATGCCCCCTTAGATTACGATTTCGATGGCCATCAGTTCGACAATATCCGTTGGATGATGAATGACATAGCTGTGGTGAAAGTTGAAGACAATTTCAATTTCAATCGCCGAATCCTCGGCTGCGACTTCATACCAAAGAAAATCACTTACAATAACCACAGTGAGGACTTGGAGAAACCTGGTACAGTTGGATCTATCGCTGGGTGGGGATCGCAGGATAGATTTGGAGACATGATTAAGGTATAAATAGAAACAATTTATTTGTTTATTTAAAACTAAATGTTACACTTTAAAGCTACTTTCACACTACACAAGGCGGACTTAATGCAATGAGTCATTCTCTGCCAGTCAATTTTAATATGACTGTATTAAGTAAAGGAAATACTTGGAGAAATGTTGCTAGGCAAATTTGTGACACGTTTGCCAAGTGGATTTCTGATATAGCGTTCTTCTGGCTTTTAAATTAGGTATAATTTTTCGTCGGCAATGTGAATCTTTTTTCACCATTTAAAAAAAAACGAGTATACACTGACATATTCTTATAAGCTGTATGAGAGGAAAATGTAGTTGTAGATGGGCAGCAGCGTCCTCCTTCACTAATTTACTATTTATCTAACATTTTTGTATCGTATAGTGAAAATTAAAATGAAAAATGTTTAGTTGACAGAAAACAATTACAACTCATTACACTAATATAAACTCAAAATAATAAAAAACTACAGTTGCCAATCCGCCAGCCTCATAAGTGCCAGATCTACGCCTATGAGGCAATCTATGAGGAGGCCTATGTTCAGCAGTGGACTTTAGGCTATTGGTTGTAATGATGACGATGAAGCTGATAATATAATATAGATGTATAGTCAGAATCTTTAGGTCGGCGTTAATTAATTTATAAGGATTTAGAATGATTTTAAAGTGTTAGAGCCACGCTGCAGCTATATTAAAGCTGCAACGCGAATGGTTCGTCTGGAAAGGGGAAGGAGCACGCTTTAAATAAATCGAGGTAGTCAACATATCATAGCAAACACTACATATCATATAAGAAGTAATATTATACTAATATTAGCGAAGTACCACTGACTGACTGACTCTAGATCTCTAAAATTGTACACCCGATTGACTTGAAATTTAATATAGTTACTCATTTCGCAATGTAGACGGGCTAAGAACGGATTTTACGATAGTCCAATTAAAAAAAATCTTGATATTTTACATCCGTCCACCGACCGGGTATTAGCTAATATACCGAATATATTATAAGAAGTATAGGTGGCAACACCACTCTGCGGCCACGCCCTCGCATAATAGCAGCGTGAAATGTCGTTATAATGTTGTGGTATAGTTGTTTCTACATTACCTATAGGAGTGTAGAGAACAGACACTTTTTACTGGTAACAAGATATTCCATTTTGGTCCTCGGGGATTATACGTTGGGGAGATAAATGTGTCATTTATCATGTAAATGAAACAGACGCCATACCGCAAGAGGCTTGCTTGATCAGAATTAAGTCTGCACAAAAACACATGAAAATATTGCCACCTAACACAAAAATTGCCCTATTCTATATTTTATACTCCATTTTAAAGACGATTTCTAGTTTTAAAATAAACTTTATTGGGTCAAACTTTGTAGTGTATAGTATGGACTGAACCTAAAAATTTGACATTGTGGAGTTTGAGCTCAAACTCGAAATTGTATCTATATATATATAAGATATATTGATGACTTTGGTTTTTTGCTACTATCTCAATATTCAAACTGCGCAGATATGTCAGAGAGACAACGTAAGAGATCTCTGATAAATGACAGTCGTCAATGAGAAGCGGCCTAGACAGGGAGGTCTAGTATTCCGATTCACTTCCTAAGCTTAGCTATTATGATTTATCTTTTGGACAATGGGAGGGGTCCATGGCTGGCAATAGACTTTTATAGCTGAAAACAAGAAAGGATTATTTAAACTACCTTAGACGTATTCTCTATGTGTCGCTGACTGTGCATGGTTGTGGGTAGTAAATATATTTCGGAAAATTAATAATTTTAATAATGGCTTTTCCACCTTTACATATATTTTAACAGTCTCCTGAAAGAGCTACCATCAACTCTCCAGTGCTCATGGAAACAGTTGTTGTTCTCATATCGTCAACTCTTTGCAAGAAACGATGGCCAGAGCGCTATCACCACATCATCGACAAGTCAATGATTTGCGCTAAAGATGACGTTAATTCGGATAAAATGAGCGCGGTTTGCAACGTAGGTATCTTACTTTACGACAATTACTTGAAAAGGAAACAAATAAGCTACCCGTATCAACATTTTTTCGTGGTAGAGCCATGCTGAAACTATAATATTACGTAGAACGAATGGGTCGGCTCGACCGACGAAGACCATGTCCTTATAGAATATTTTATGAGATACTGCATTTAACATGGCGAGTGTAAAGAACTGCAGACAATTTTTACTGGAAACCAGGCATTCTATGTTAGTCCTCAGGGGTGACAACGCATCTGCATTTTCATTCTTATACGAGGATAGATGTAAGTGTCTATGGGCTATATCATCACAGCATCCACTTGCACTCAGGTGAACTGTGTGCTCGTTGGACACTATTTTTTTTTTATAAAAAAAGTCAATATAAATATGAATTCAATTAATGCGTAAAATGCATAACATATTACCGAACACTTTTAATATTTAAAGATTTTATTTTCTTTTTTTTTTTTTACCAATTTTTTGCCACGTTTTTATTAACGTGTATGTTTGTTCGGGTCGACTTTAGTAATTGATTATAAACTATAATCAATTACTAAAGTCTTAACATAGCTCAGAATCTGATGACAATGTGAAAATATGAAAAAAAAACTAAAAGGATTTAAACTTTTTAGTTTGTATATTTTTTATATTTAAACTTGTTTAAAATAAAATGAACATTTATAATATTATAAATTACAAATATATAATTTCCATATAACCTAAAAATATACTTTAATACAGGACCAATTAAGATGCAAAGAGTTGATTAGTTCAGAAGAAGATGAGTTCGGTAAAAGAAGATCTCTTATACCTATGAAAGAAGAAATTCACAGCGCTTCTCATTCATTCGATTTTAGAAGATCCAAAGTCAGATCGGGAGGGTTTTGTGAGGTTTCTATACTATATCACAAGCTATGAAACTTAGTTATAAAACTCGCTCTAGTTACCATATAACTATTCAAAAAATAATTCATCAGTCATTTACTTCGTCTTTTATAGTTCCTTAATAATGACGATGCAGCTGAATCAAAAGCTCGTGGAAACAGCTCATGCGGTCGTAGCTAAGTTCTGCAAAACCCGCCGCAGAAGAATACAGAAATTCTTCGATCACACTCTTAATCTCATGGCTGTTAGACGGGAAATGAAGCTGCAGTCTTCAGCAAATTTGACAGCATACAGGCAACTAAACAGACAGATCTCCAAATGCTTACTTATGCAACTTTAATACAGCTCGTATTGAAGGAGCGATCGAGCGGAACCAGGACTCCACAGTCTTTGCCAGAGATCTGTTTGCCAGTAAGAGCCAAATGTCGAAGCTGTAGACCGAACGTAGCAGCATCGTTTCCGGGGCACCCGAGATTTTGAGTGAGATTGAGAGATTCTATGGGCAGCTGTACACATTTTCGTTGCAGCCACACGCAAGTGTGAGTAATTATCCAAGAGCAACTCTTATCCGACACTATTCCGATGATATCCCAGACTACAGTCTCAGCGAGATTAGTATGGGTCTCCAGCTCCTTAAAAACGGCAAGGTCCCAGGCGAGGATGCAATTACCGCGGAGCTTCTGAAAACGGGTGGATAACCGGTACTTGAAGTCCTTCAGAAGCTCTTTAATTTAATTCCGTCATCCATAGTGGGACTATTCCGGAAACGTGGAACAGAAGTGCGGTGGTATTGTTCTTCAAGAAATGTGACAACGCTCTCTTAAATAACTACAGACCGATTTCGCTTCTGAGCCGCGTCTACGTGCTGTTTTCGTGAGTCATTACGAATTCGGGGTTTTTCTGCATAATAACTTAGAAATGAGGATATACGCAGTAGAACTAGAGTGACCAGCATAGCCCAACGGATTAGTAAGCTGAAGTGGCAATAGGCCGGCCATATAGCTCGAAGAACCAACAACCGATGGTGCAAAAAGGTTCTCGAATGGCAGCCTGGTACCGGTAGGCGAAGTGTAGGACGACCCCTCACTAGATGGAGTGACGACCTGGTAAGACATGCAGGAAGTCGATGGATGCAGGTGGTTTAGGACTGTGCTTTGTGGTATTCCTTAGGGGAGGCCTATCTTCGGCAGTGGACTTGTAGTAAAGGGCTGTAATGATGATGATGACTGTAAATCTTGGATACTTGCAACCACTTAAGGCTACTAAGGCGTTGTCACCTTCGAGAACCAAGATGGAATGCCTTACAGCCTGTAATTGTATTGGCATTCTAAATCACAAACCGGAGCACAGTGACAGTGACATCATAAAACTTTTTGAAAGCCTCTCACGAGACATAATATAGTATCACAAATAAACGCGAGTATGTTGATAATAAACAATCTACTCGCCTGACACCTTAAGCCGCGTCTCCACCAAAGTTTTGTTGCCAACACAACAGTTGCCAACAAAACTTGTTTGCATTTTCGGCGGCAACATCAAAGGTATACACTTGTTGCCAACATTTGTTCCCTCGGTGGAGACGCTTGTTGGAAACAGTTGGAAACATAACTGTTGTCAATATTTTTGGTGGATACGCGGCTTTACATACTACCGTTCGAGTTCGACACAAGTTTTGAGCGCATGAATAATTTTGGTGGATTTAGTTTACGCATCTTATTTTCAACTACAAACTAGTATTGTGCTTACGGCAACCGCATACTAGGAACTAAACGAACGATGAACCAGTATCAACAGTGTAAGTCGTTCCGCACTAAACCTCATACCACTCGGCAGATCTTAAGGGAATTACTAACAATGCTTCTAAATGTTTGTGTCAAAATAAAAATAATTAGTAGAACCGTTGGCCGTTAGGAAAGAAGTTTCTGAAAGAACAGACAGTCTTGTACCAATGATCGCATTGTAGACGTATATGCAGTTATACCTGGTAAATCCATGCTGTGGTTTATAACGGCTGCAGCAGGAATGAGTCGGCTCGACCGGAAAATAACCATACTCGCACAGAATACCAGCGTGAAGTAACACCACCATGCCGCTGTGTTTTGTATCGCGGGTTATAACAATCGAACATCCTTTTGACTGGTAACTAATCATTCCATCTCAGTCCTTACCGGTGACGACACAACATGAAATTTTGATTCTTAATTGAATGTACATAGGTGTCTATAGGATGCCGCATCCAATTACCATAAGGTGAATTGTGTGCTTGTTTGACACCCATACTACTATAAAAAATACAGACAATCGAATGATGCAGGTAACTCAGAGACATATTTTATATCTTTCCTTAGGAGAACCCTCTGTTCAACTAGATATATGAAGAGCTGATGATGACATATTGCGTTTGTATTTAATATTACAAGCTAACTACTCATTATATTATAGTCCTCAAGGGTTATAACGTATCTATGACTTCCTTTGTAGAAAGCTAGTTTTAGGTATCTATAAGGTTCAGTAGCTACTTGCCATCAGGAGAACTTAGTTCATTGTCATTTTCATGTTATAGAATAAGTTGAATGAATGTTTTCCAGAACGATCACGGTGGGCCTCTAGTGGTAGGTCATGGTACTGGTGCAGTTGTGACAGGAGTGATCTCAGCATGCCTCACAGCCAACATAACTCGCAAGTGCCACGGACCGTTTCTCTATACCAGCGTTTATAGAAATAGAATGTTAATCACTTGCGCCATTGAAAAGGAAAATGTGTAAGTCAGCTGTTATATTTATATTAGATAGTTTTTTTTTTGTTTAAAGATCTTTATTTACACATTAAAACAAATACATCTCACTTACATGAGTTCATTCATACAATTTAAAATAAGTGCAAATAAGTCACACAGAACAAAATAATAAAAAAAGTGAAGGTAATATAGAGTTAGCTTCTTAAGAGCAATGTTTGGAGGATGTCCAAGTTAAAAAATGTCTTGATTTTTAATGTGGTCTAACAATTCTTTCTTGAAGATATTGAGCGAACTTCTCATTGAGCGCATCTTTTATAGTTAAATTTGGACTATGAAATTTTAGGGCAAGCTTCAGAACCATTATTTATGCAAATAACACTATTCTAAATGCTTACAGTGCCACGTGCAGAAAATTATTATTGCGGACCACAGACACGCATCTGAATGAAACTACTTTTGATTGGTCCGGACATCCTGATGGGTAAAACTTCACTATTTAAATATTTTCTAATAAAGAACAACAATATATTTAAGGTATTTGCTGGTGCTATTTTCAAATAATATTATAATCATTACATCTCTCTAATTAGCATTCTTATATGTACTTCCGAACGACTCGACCGATTGAAATGACATTGAATATGACCATTCACACAATATTTTGTTTTCGATATTTCATACCTAAGATCCGATAGATGACGCTGTAGTCATGTCATTAAAAGTTCGATATTAATGAACTTGCAATTATTATTGAGTCTCTAAGGAGAACCTTTGTGACAGAAACACATTGACAGACAACGTTTTTGGTATCAAACACTACAATGATGTTGGTAAAATGAATTCCAAGCTACAAAAGCTGCAATAAAAAGCTAGTTATTCCATATAGTTCCATTATTCTCGCAACCACTTACGTTTCTATATCTTATTTATATAATATTATAGAACTAAAACAAATTCTTGTAGAAATGCTAGCGACACAGGCATGTAGTGTATTCTCCTAATTGAAAAACAAGTTTTTTTTTTATAGGATAGGGTGACAAACGAGCACATAGTCCATCTGATGATAAGTGGTTGCTGTGACCCAATCTATCAATATATCTACCCAATATACGGTGTTAATGGGAGACTTCAATGCAAAACTAGGCACAAGAGAGAACGGTGAGCTGAAAGTAGGGAAATTTGGAATAGGGCAACGGAACCCAAGGGGCCAGCAGCTGGCCGACTTCATGGAGAAAGAGGGACTCTTTATGATGAACTCTTTCTTCCAGAAGCGGCCCCACAGGAAGTGGACCTGGTCGAGCCCCGACGGTTCCACAAAAAATGAGATTGACTTCATTATGACGACCAGACGACAACTGTTCAGTGATGTCTCCGTGATCGCGAGGGTGAAAACTGGTAGCGATCACCGAATGGTTAGAGGCACACTGAACCTAAACGTTAAGTTGGAGAGGTCTCGTCTAATGAAGTCAACGCTCCGTCCCCTTCGTGCTCTGTTCCAAAGTCCCGAAACCTTTCAGCTCGAGTTACAAAACCGTTTTCAGTGCCTGGAAGACTGCAATGAAGGGACGATATGAATGACAAGCTCGTGGAAACTGTCCTTGCGGTCGGAGCTAAGTTCTGCAAGACCCGCCGCAGAAGAACACAAAAACTCTCCGATCACACCCTTAATCTCATGGCTGTTAGACGGGAGATGAAGCTACATTCTTCAACAGACTTGACAGCATACAGGCATCTGAACAGACAGATCTCCAAATGCATGCGGCGGGACTTACGCAACTTCAATACAGCTCGTATTGAAGAAGCGATCGAGCGGAACCAAGGCTCCAAAGTCTTTGCCAGAGATCTGTCTGCCAGAAAGAGCCAACTGTCAAAGCTGAAGACAGAGTGTGGCAGCATCGTTTCCGGGACACCTGAGATTTTGAGTGAGATTGAGAGGTTCTATGGGCAGCTGTACACATCATCGTTGGAGCCACACGCAAGTGTGAGTAACGATCCAAGAGCGAGTCTCATCCGACACTATTCCGAAGATATCCCGGATGTCAGTCTGAGCGAGATTAGGATGGCTCTCCAGCACCTTAAAAACGGTAAGGCCCCAGGCGAGGATGGAATTACAGCGGAGCTTCTGAAAGCGGGTGGAAGACCGGTACTTGAAGTCCTTCAGAAGCTCTTTAATTCCGTCCTGCATGGTGGCATTACACCGGAGGCGTGGAGCAGAAGTGCGGTGGTCTTGTTCTTCAAGAAAGGTGACAACGCTCTCTTGAAGAACTACAGACCGATTTCCCTTCTGAGCCGCGTC